GTCCATTGTGCCCTTCTGGGAACCATCTGAATGCGGCCAGAAGCCAACCAGAACGATCAAAGCCTACAAATTCCAGGTCTCACGGGAAAAACACAACAGAGTCGGCACAATTTAGCTCTCTGCTCCACTTTTCTGGCAAACCTTGGGAATTTGGTAACGCTACAAAGTCGTATTTAAGTTATAAAGGGTGATTATTTTTGTTGTGTGGTTTTTGAGTTGGTAGCATTGCTAAACACAACAAATTAAAATGAAACAGCTGTTTAATGTTTATCTTATGTCATTTCAATAGTCGTATTTTTAAGTTAAAAAGGGTGATTTTTTTTGTGTGGTTTTGTTGTGTGGGTAGCATTGCTAAAGACACTGGGCGTCATTTGGGGGGGGGGGCATTTGCCCCCCCCCCCTGGTTCCTAGGCTAGAGAAAAAAATATGCTGTACTAGCTAATATACAAATATTTTCTCCTGGCAAATACTAAACAGCACGGCAGACAAAAATCTGCCTATTCTTCTACAGTAATTTGAAACAAAAATATTTTTTTTTGTGTCTCAGTAGCATATTCAAATTAATTGTGTCTTATTATTTTATTGACAATAAAATTTGATTTGCTTTTAAGTACTTAAAAACCAAATTAAACTGTTATAAACTATAAGCTTTGAATACAACCGTATTCATTGCTATAGGTCTAAATGTTGTACAAGAGAATTTGGTCATAATTCTAATAACAAAAATAATGTTAATACACCATGGAACTATTGATCACGTTTCTTAGATGACTAACATACCAACATATTACTATGTTTCGACCTGTTGTCAATAATTGTTAGTTTCACTAATTTTCTGCTAATATTTAAATAAATTTTACTGATAAATTGTTTTTATTCGAAGTGCTTTTGACAACTAAAATAAGCTTAAACCCCTTTTTTTGTTTCAAAACTGCTAAAAGTTGCCGACCCCAACCATGAATAGACTTACAAAAACTGAGGAAAGTTTGTGAATTGTGCAAATTTATTTTGAAAACCGTTGTTCAGTTCGGGTAATTTACCGCGCACTTCGTCCGATCTACGGACCATGTGTTTTTGTAAATTGTCTACGCTGACAAACCCAACGAGCACATAGACCACAGACTCTAAAATGGTTTGAAAGTCAACTTTCGTTGAGTTCGCTACGTCCTCAGCTGCTGAAGAGGGTGTTATTTAAATAAGTCTGGTTTGTTTAAGATGTTTGAGGATTCACAGAGGATACGCGTCCGGTAACCGTACGTCGATTAGACGTCCGGCAATGACGTCATGGGGTTGCGGGAACCTGGAACGCCTTTACTACAACAATACCATCACCAACCATCGGTGGTCGTGGTGTAGTGGATAAGATGCTCGGCTGATATGCAAGAGGTCCAGGGTTCGAGTCCCATTGGTGACATTAAATTTTTGTCGAAGATTTTGCATTGAATACCATTTATTCTTAACTGTACATCTTTAATTAGAATTTTTGGCATTTATAATTTTCTAATAGAGAAAGAATTTAACCTTAATTCGATTTTTTCATTATCAGCAAGTTTGGTTGGTTAGGTTAGGTTATGACAGTAATTGCCGGACGTCTAATCGACGTACGGTTACCGGACGCGTATCCTCTGCGTTGAGGATTTTTTAAGGCAATCAGACAACAAGACCTAACCAAAAACAAACTCTTCACTTCTACCAATCGTGTTACTAGAACTACAGGGACATCTGCCGAAGAAAGATTTAAAGTCCTCGCCCAACAAATGTCACTTCTAATCTCTCCAACTCTCGTCTAATGTATTTTGGTAAGTGCAGCATTAGGGCTCGTGCCCAGCACAAAAACAGCCATATCCTCGACATCCTGTTATGAATCAGGTAAAAATAGACGGTGGGGGTGCGAAGGATACCAGATGGCCGGAAGGGCACGCGCGTCTAGGGCATCTGCCCCCTGGCTCCCTACAGCTGTAGGGCTCCGCCCCGTCCGGAGCCCTAGGTCTACCTCAGGCAGCATCTGGTCTATTCTTACAAACTGGTTATCTCAGGAGACAATCCTCACTTGCTTCCGTTTTAACAAAAAGCCTGCCTAAATTATTGCAGTGTTCCGGAAATCGAGATTTCATTGAGTTTCATACATTTGGTACCGTACCTTTGTGATGTCCTTTTCCTGCTACCATATTTTTTAGTTATATTTTTTACTAACTGATTTATAATTTTTTACTACTGATTAATCAAAGCAGTTGGATTTTTAGTGTTTTTACAGCTAAATTCATGCCAAAACGTGTAATGCGGTGTGCAAAAGACAGCATGAAGCACTGCATCATGAGGGTTTAAATATGACAAACCCAAAGAAACAGTATCCGAAATTAAAGAAACACATAGGAACGAAAATACATCGATGTATAATAGTTATTATACATCGATGCGAAAATGTAGATTGTGTCCTTTGCGGCTTACATCTTTTAAAGAGTTGCGGCCTTGTCAGATGTTTTGGGTTTCCCCGTACACTTTTAGTTTCAGGGAAATTACCGAAGTTTATTTCAAAGGGACCGAAGTTTATGAAGTCAAGGGCATCATGATTGACTTTGTTTTTGTCAGCATGAAAAACCAATTAGGCTAAGAGTCGTTTGAAAACAAAACCAGACTTTTTCACTGAACGGTTAACAACGAAATGTTATTGTGGTTTATTCCTGCTAGGTTGTCTAAGTCATAGTTTTAGAGGAATTGCTTATACAGTACTCAGATATTTATAATCTTAATCTATATAATGCTTATAAGCAGTAGTTTTCTGTCACGGCCACCTTTAACTCCTTCAATTTTACCAAATATCTATTATCTATACTTATTTAATACGCAAGCAGGTTTTTTGTGACAATTACTCCTCCGAAACTACTGTACCGATTGACATGTTTTTGGTGTCATTGGAAAGAGCGTAAAGTGAAGTTGTGCAGGAAACTTTCTTTTTAGGGAAATAATTAGGGAGTGAGGCCCTGGGGCCCTTTAAAGTTTTGTATTTCTCCTTAAGATTAACATGGGACACAAACATGGTTATGCAACTCCAGCTGTTGTCAGAAATTAAAAGTGAGAAGAAAAACATGTTAATTATAAAATTGTGACAGAGATGTTATGCAGAAAATCTGGTAGTTAATGGTTATTTGGTGCTATTAAAATAAAGACTGAAATTTGTAAACGTACTGGCGACAATGGGTGATACCATGCGGACTACATTATCATTTGACAAGGACCAACATGGACAACCAATTATTGCGGCTATAAGGGGGAAACATTTCTACAATACACTAAAAGCCAGATCAGCTTTTTAAAAATGATAAAATATTTATAATAAATGTTGATTGTATTAAACTGTTAATACATTGTGAGTATTATTATTAGTTACGTAATCTTTGAGTTGACCCTTTTAAACTCATCGGAATTTACGACTTATTGTTCTTGAATAAGTTTTTTTTTGTTTTTAAATAACTCCTTTACTATTGCAATTGCTCGATTTCGAGCAACATGTACACAAATGTAAAGTAATGTTTCATAACACAGTCAATATTATGGTTATTATTTTGCTAATAATTTTAGTTCTTCGTAAGTTGGAAGAGTTCAAACTCTAGGAAAGATTTTTTTGAAGCAAATAAAAGTACACCTTCAGAATAGTAGCCTACCTGCATGTTTATGTCGAGGGATCAATATTTTTCAATAAATTAATTTAATTTAGCAAGGAACTTGAAGATAAAATTTAATAACTTGAAAATAAAAAAATAGCTTTTTAATAAATGCTCAGACAGCCTTGGAGATTATGTATGGATAGGTTGAAGGTATTATTTGAGTACCTTGATCGTTTGTTCGCATTAACATATTTTTCAAAATTTGACATTGACATAGAAGATTAGAAAGTAGGTTTTTGTACTTTCTATGTTGGTATTTTAGCATGGTTTGCTGACACAAGTTACTTCACTTTTTACGATTGGAATGCATGCATTTCTTTGACATTTAATTTAATTTTACCTACTCTTAAAAATACCTTTCCTGATTTTAAAACATCTACCTATAGTCCATATAATATTGTATTTCTATTATACCTGTCAAAAAAATACAAAATTGAGGATGCCTGTTTTGAAGTATCTACACTGACTATCTGTCAATCTACTGATGTTATTATACAAATTTACGATACAAATCAATGTAATCTAAAATTGTTTAAATTAACGTCTACTTTTTTAGGATCCGACTACACCGTAAACTGAAGCAGGTTTCAATCTTTACTTATTCTTAATACTTAATCTAAATAAATGGGATTGGAAAAATGTGTATGTAAAAATCAATATTATGTGGATTAGCGAGTACAGTTTGGTCAAAATATCTTCAAAACTCGAATCTTATTTGTTTAATGGATGTCATGTGCTATTGATAAGAGTTGGATACATTCTACTATTAACATACTCATTTTTTATGTTGCAATTTTTTTTATACTTAAATTATCATGACTTTATATTTTGAAACACAGGATATCATCATAACAATAATACATAGGTACTTTGCACATAGAAAGGCGTAAATGGAGCATTAGTATCTCCTAGTCTAAGTTTAGAACTAAAAGAGAATTAGCATGTTCGTAAGAAACTTCATTTTCGTTTTTTTTAAACATAGGCTACATATGTGTGTATATCACATTTCACATTACCGTCATGGAAATACTTTAATTTCAATTTCTCTATGCGGGTTTCCAGCTTACCCAAGTTGAGAAATGGCAGACATTCCCTTCTTATAAGACATAAAAGTATTAAATTCATTCCTCCGAATAAATTTGATATTTTTATCCAATCCAAATTAAACAGAGAATCCTTTTCTTACACCTACTTCCTCCTGAGTTGCTTTTGTAAACAGTGCGAGTGCAGCTGCCGTTTTCAGTGGTGGGGATAGAGGAAGGATGGGGAGGGGGGTCACGTGATGCTGGTCAGCGCGATAGACAGACAGACAGACAGACAGTCAGAGTGTGTACGTCGTCGCAGGAGGGTGTGTCGGGTAATTGTTTGCGAGTTGGAATGTTAGGTGTGAGTTTGTACAGTTTTAGCTAACTTTTGTATTACACATAGTTCTGCGAGTCAAGATGGAGCGTTGACCTTCACTACTTCCTTCTGTTGGAATTTATTCACGAAATTTCAGGTAAAGATTTATGTTGTTACAGTATTAACCTAAATATACTTTTCATTCCAATCTGCAGTATTTACAGTTATATTTTACAATGACAACACCGTAGTGTATCTAACAGTAATAGGGTAATAGTCATGCGCATTTCGCATCATTTCTGAACGTAATTGGAGCGTAAAGTTTGCAGTGTTCTCATTGGTTGTCTACGTCACCGGTGCGTTGTTAAAACATATATTATATAGGAAAAGAATGAACTGAGCAACCGATGGCAATTGTTAAACTTAACTGCGCACATTGTTCATTCACTTTACCGTCCTGTCATTCCATATAGGTCTTGTCATGCCACTTTCCACTTGTATTTAATACACTAGTTTGTTAGAACATTATTTTAGGTTAGGAAAAGAATCAACTGACCACCGATGATAAGTTGACTGCGCACATTGTTCATGCACTTTACCGTTTACCACCACTGTCATTCCAGAGGACTTCAGCTCGTGCTCGGTGTTTACTTGTTTTACATTTGTTATTCCATGTTATTTTTGCTAGCTGGACTAGCTATTTGTGTATGAGCGCAATGACTGTTTGTGCTCGTAATAACTGTACACAAAAGATTTTTCCTACCACCATAATTTAACTTAAAGCATACGGTATATAATAGCCATAATGACACACAGGATGATATTTTTACATGTAGGCCTACAGTATAAAAAATTAAATTTTGATTTAGGTTATGTTTGCTTTCTTAAGGTTTTCATATTTGATTACCGGTCGTTAACTAACGCAAGCCTGACCTGATCCGTGGCTGAGATTGGTGTTGAGATGACAATTCCGAAATCAGCTGATTAGCGTGCGGGAATGAACCATTCTCGCTCAAGAGCGGCAATGAGCTATTTTGCGTTAGCATACGTTTAAACAGGTGTGGCAATGTGATCATTTCCTTGTAGATCATTACCGGTACCTTTCACAGATTAGGCCTCTCGCCCACTATACGATTTCGGTCGTACGACACTGTGTCGTACGATATTCTTATCATATGTGTGATCCTCGCCCACTTTACGACACTTTGTCGGATAAATGGCCAGTTGCTCGGTAGCCATGGAGGAGTGGGTGTGTTGCGCAATATCTTAACCATGTTTTTTTGTCAAACAATGGATCCGTTACGTGTTGTTGCTATGTGGCTGCTATGGCGTAGAATTAAGCGTCGTAGGGTTAAGCGGAAGTATTGGATTCACCCTATTAATCAAAGTAGGGAACACACAGGATCATTTCAAACTCTTTTTGATGAACTTCGGCATGATGATAACAAGCTTTTCAACTACTTCAGAATGTCTGCTGCATACTTTGATGAATTACACCAGAAAATAAAAGCTACAATTGCTTACCAAAATACTAACTGAGGAACTGCATCACTTCTAAAGAAAGTCTAGTTATTAGGGTACGTTGAGGTTAGTAAGATTACATTTTATATTTGATACGTTTTGTTGGAAGTGGTCAATGTGGGGCTACATCATTAAAAAAGTAATTTTTTTTATGTTTAGATTTTTCCTAAGTTAATGTAGGTTAATGTTAAGTTAATGTTCCTATTTAAAGACATCTTAAAATTATACGAGTCCGTGCCATTTAACAAGTTTTTAACATTACTTATGTTTGTCATATTACTTTCATAGGTTTTGGGATGGTTTTGGTCAAAGGTGTGTATGTTCGAACAGGTTTTGTATTGTTTTTAAATATTAATACTATTTGTTTAAACATATAATCTGCAAAAAGTAATACTTAGGTATCTTAGACAAACTATTTAACACAATATAATTAATAACAATTGTTATACAAAAATTACGGAATAATAAAAGTCGCATTGTTTTATAATTTTGTTTAAATATTTACTTATAAGTAATGCAGTGCATTAAAATAATATGAAGAAAAAATATGAACGAACTGTCAGGAATACAGACAAAATCAAAATCACGCAAAATGTTGGCTGAAAAGACAAAAACTAAGCGATATATCAAACATTATAATAAACAAGTAGCCTATGAATTAATTGTAAAAAATATATGCATGATCAAAATTATGCAAAAAAACTATTTCAAAAGACGAAAACCCAATTTTAAATGACAAAACTTAAATTAGCGAAAGTCATGCGAAGTGAACAGCGTGAAGGCTCAACGCGAAATAGGACTAGGAGGACTTGGGGAGAACGCACGACATACGATAAAAATCGTATAGTGGGCGAGCGCCCATTTGATCATACACGCCACTGCGAGTTAGACAGTCGTACGACAGTCGTGTATCACAGTGGCAGTGGACGACTGCTTCACGACAGTTTATCGTAGTCGTGAGATTATCGTACAGTGGGCGAGCTCTCATAAGATCCAATGGTTCACTGTTGAAATGTTGTCGTTCCGACACAGTGTCGTACGACCGAAATCGTATAGTGGGCGAGGGGCCTTATTCAAATTTTTTTGCAGAGAGATCTTGATGAAGTCTTGTAGAAAATTGAGAGAAAAAAACAGTAACCTTAAATTACCCTAAACTGTCGTGGTTTGTTTTTTAGAGATTCTGTAAATGGGATACACAGTATATTAATGCTTCTGTACCAGCAAACCAAAGTAAGTTACGCATGAAAATTAAATGTTGATTTAATTAGTGAATGTCCAACCAGGTTAACTGCAAAATTGCCTTGCAGATGCTGCAGGATTACTGTGGTGGGGGTATTTTATAATTCGCCAAGCTTTGCAATACCTCGGATAATCTATGATGGCAATGCTCATACTGTATTTATAAAACGTCGAGTTGAGGGGTTATCTAAAACTACGCCTTTCATTTATTAATTTCCATTTGCTAGATCAAAGAGGCGAAAGTTCAACATGTGGTTTCCTTGGGTTATCTGTTGTGGCAGCACTGGCCTTCGACAACTAGCATTTTATCAGCTTTTCGAAGGCGAAGCTAATTTTGTTGAATGTTTCCGTAAGGATGGAAATCCCTTTATAATTTAATCTATAACCTCAAAAGAGAATAAATACTCACCACATGACAACGCTTCACTCAAAGTATCTCCACTGAGGTATAAATTACGGATTACGTTCTACAGCACGTCGTGTCCATTGTCCAGTCAATATCTCATGAGTTATGACCTTCTTCATCATTCGTCTCCATCAGTGAAGCAATTTGTAACGACCGTAACGAATATTAACGCTTTTCTCGTGAGTACACACGTTTGACACGCCGGAAGTTCTTGATCGTTGCCGGATTTCCGGTAGATAAGGACTTTTGACCGTTGTGGCCGGTGCACCATGCGTTATCATGGCGTTATACTAGTTGCGATTTTTTGCTTGAATGTTTTTAGAAAGGTTTTATGGGAGTATCTTGTCGTTGCCACTCCAACTATATGGACCATGGCAGTTGAAAATTAGACATCCTCGATTTTGCTTTGAAGTTGAAACTCATAGCCTTGGTTAGTGAATAGCACTTGTAATAATATGATCCATTGCCGGTGGCGTAAATAATACGATGTCAGTATGACTTTGAACTTCGAAACAGCTGATTACAGTTGCTTACAGTGCAGCTGGTTTATAAATGTTACGAAAAAATAGGCACTTTATTTGATCTTAGTCTATACCCAAACCCAAGATTATTTTGCAACATTTTCAACATTCATGTTTTCCACAAGCAAAAAAAAAACAAACAATCATCCGACCTTTTTTCTAGCTTCAGGTTTTATATTTAAATCGAGTTCTATATACATAAATCAAACAAATTAAATTTCAAAATGTAATTTCAACTCGTGAGATGTTTATTACGTTGAAGGAGTGTGATCGATCCAACTTTCTTAAAACTGTTAAAACAAACAAAACAGTTCGGTATAGCTAATAGCTAAAAACAAAATGGAATCAGTTTTGTCACGAATGGGGGAATGCATGTACTACCCAGGTACTACCCCATCGTGTTTTGTTATTTATTAAAATAAATGGCGTACCGGTAGTTTTACGAATAGTCCACCAAGCAAACCAATAGTTTCTTTGCGAATCTTGATTATATCACAAACATGACCGCTATATTGGAACTTGTAATGATATGAGTCATTGGTGGAGGTATGTGGGTGAAATACTGTATACCATTTTAAAGCTTGAATCGCTCTTTCAATATGTATACTGTACTGGTCGAAGGATACAGCCAACCGATTCTTCTAGCTCAGCCCTTGTTGATCAATCTCTTCAGTTCAGCCGCCCCTAGTCGATTCCCACCCCTTGTCCAACGGCCAGTAGCCCTATAGCCTATTTTGCCGCCTGTTGCGCCATAATTGCCGCGTTCCGCCCTGCGCCCAGCTGTTTATTATTGTGTTGTCAGGTTCGATGCTGCCTATTGTAGCCAACTCTGATCCATGACTTCCCATGTACAGAACACCGGATAAGTAGGCCTGGGGGGTTTGTATGGAGGTATTTTAGAGGGGTTTGTGTTGATTGATCAAATTACTCAGATTTGTTTAGCTGAGGGAACTTAGAACTTTCTGTGTACTGCAGGGGGAGGGTTGTGATTGGTAATCATTGTTGTGGGCCTTGATTGCACAAGTTTAAACACTAGACTCACTAGGGTGGGCTGTGATTCTTGAATGCTTAAAGTGAGTTATGCAGTACGTTTTCTGTGGTTATGCCCATGTAAAGCAGGGGGTTAAACCTAACATCGGTTTAAATTATTTCTCATGTTTAATTACAGTAGGTGCTTAATTATTGTGTATTGTGGTAAAGAAAATTGAATTAATTATCCCATCGGAAAGTTTTTAACAAAATGTTTACTAATTTTCATATTTTTTTATGTGCGTGTGTTGCATAAATTGTGTAGGCGATGATTTAAATTTTACCCCAAAACGTATTGTCCAAACGATCTATAGTCATATTTCGGTCAAGCGAAGACAATTGGAAAGTACACAACTAAAAGGGAAGTACAAAATGTAAATATTAGAGCAACATTTGTAAAAAAATGTGAATATTTACCAAAAGTAATTCAAATGTAAAATT